CTTACCTCGTGATATGAATTACGGTTGATGCTAAAGAGAGATGAAAACGTAATTTGAGACCTAATTGCTTTGAGTTTTTATTGTTTGATTCAACTAATTTGTTTAGTATTGTTTATATAGGGAATTCTAGCGAAACCCTAAAAAAATATGAAGGAATATTTCTTTTCTTTCTTTCTTGATAATACTATATTCTATATTACTATTTCTATATATCCTAAAGAATTAAAATGTAAAACAAAAATTAATTTCTATTTTATCAATAAATAAAGTATAATGGATTATTTTTATTTTTGTTTTAGTTATAACTTAGAATATATATTTTCGTTGGTAAATCTAAGATATATTTACAATATATCAATATAAAATTTTCAATCATTAAAAAAAAATTTGTTTGTGAGCTAGTTCGCGCCTCGTCTGAGCTGGCTCGCTTAACTCGCCAACTCATTTAAGCTCGATCATTTAACTCATTTACTAAATGAGTCTAAAAAACGTAATTCGCGCTCATAAAAATCAGAGATGAGCTGAGTCAGCTCATAAGCTAATAACTCGTTTGACACCCTACTTGTTTATGGTAAATTTTTGTCGTCCGGTTTGAGTAAACCAATCATATAACTTAACCGTTTTACTTTAATTACGGGATTTTTATATAAAAAATTGGGTTGTCCTTTCCGCTTTACTGGGCCGACTTTTATGGGACCAAATGGGCTTAGCTTAAAAAAATCCATATATAATGAGCCTAAAACTATGGTCTTGTTTGTTTCTAGCAACACCAGTAAATAAAAGCCACGTGTCATTCCTCCACTATGGACTTTTGACTCGGTGTGGCTGCCGGAGAGTAGAGGAAACCTTTTTAAATCCCGACGAGATTTTTTTTTTTTTATTATTAAAGAAAAAAAAACTAAAACATAATAAAAGAGAAAATCAAGAAATTTTAGGCGTAACAAATTAAATCAAGCAGACAAGAAAACAAATGCAAAGTTCCAACGAAAAATCGAAATTCGCATTTTTCCTCTTCTTCTGAGTGATGGTAGATAGGTTAATTCCAAAGACGAAGAAGAAGAAAGAGAACCCGGATCCGATCGATTATTAATTTGGTAGATCGGGCTTGTCTGAGAAGATGCCGGCGACCGGAGACATCGATCATCAGATCGAGCAGCTAATGGAGTGTAAAGCGTTATCTGAATCGGAAGTGAAGGCGTTATGCGAGCAAGCGAGAGGGATTCTGGTTGAAGAGTGGAATGTTCAACCGGTTAAGTGTCCGGTTACCGTCTGCGGCGATATTCATGGCCAATTTTACGATCTTATTGAGCTTTTTCGTATCGGTGGTTCTTCTCCTGATACTAATTATCTTTTCATGGGCGATTATGTAGGTTCGTCTCTCGATTCCATTTTTGTAGATCTCTTTGGTTTTTGGTTGGGAGGATTGTATCTGCTTTTACTTTGTTTCTGGATTTTGATTCCAACCTTTTGTTATTTGGTTGACTTTTTTGTTGGGATGATGATGCAGATTATTGTAAGCTTTACTTGTTTTGGGAATTTTTGCCTAAACTGTAGATAATTGTTTTGGTTTTGTTGATTTTGGTAGAGTTGCTACAATTGCATTTGATTTGGAAGATTTTGCCATTGAAAAGGCTAAACTTTTCGTTCTAGCAGTTAACTATTCATGTAGTAACCTGACCTTTTGGAGATATAACATTGGGAAAGCTCGTGTTTTCGAGTAGTTTTTGTTCCGATTTTCCGTCATGGGAGTTTTATGTTAAGTGCCTATTTGGCTCCTTTTAGTGGTTAAGTTTCTCAATTAGCTATAACTAACATGATTGTTATCTTGTGAAGATCGAGGGTATTATTCTGTGGAGACGGTATCGCTATTGGTAGCTCTGAAAGTTCGTTACAGAGATAGACTTACGATCCTAAGAGGGAATCACGAAAGCCGGCAGATTACTCAAGTGTAAGTTTTGTTTTCTTAGCTTCTATGAAAAAACCAGAAGCATTGTCCGTTCAGAATCAGAAGAATTCTTGTTTTTGAAGATTGCGTTTTCTTGCATTACATTTACAGGTACGGATTTTACGATGAATGTTTGAGGAAATATGGAAATGCTAATGTCTGGAAGCACTTCACCGACCTTTTTGATTATCTTCCACTTACAGCTCTCATCGAAAGTCAGGTATGAAAAAAGCTAATGAGCTTTTCACCTACCTTAACAAGCTACCATTCGCTTCTGCCGTTATCGACTTAACTACAAAAACTCCTTTTCTTGTAGGTTTTCTGTTTACATGGAGGACTTTCACCTTCTTTAGATACGCTTGACAACATCCGATCTTTAGATCGAATTCAAGAGGTGAGTTCCAAAATGCAAAACCAAAACCTGCAAATACAACTTTACATTATATAATGAAGCCAAACTCGTTTTGTTGTTGTTTAGGTTCCACATGAAGGACCGATGTGTGATCTATTATGGTCTGATCCAGATGATCGATGCGGTTGGGGAATATCTCCTCGTGGTGCAGGCTACACATTCGGACAAGATATCGCTACACAGTTTAACCACACAAATGGACTCACTCTGATCTCAAGAGCACACCAACTTGTCATGGAAGGTTATAATTGGTGCCAAGAAAAGAACGTTGTGACTGTGTTTAGTGCCCCGAATTATTGCTACCGATGCGGCAACATGGCTGCCATTCTAGAGATCGGTGAGAACATGGACCAGAATTTCCTTCAGTTTGATCCAGCCCCACGTCAAGTCGAACCTGAAACCACACGCAAGACTCCAGATTATTTTTTGTAAGTACCAAAAAAACAAACATCACAATTCCACACATTAGCTCTTATTCTCTGTACTTATATTCTTACCTTTTTTGTAATTTCAGTTTCTGTTCGTTAAATACATTGTCTTGTCATTTTATTGATTTTTAATTAAGAATGTGTAACCTTCTAACTAAAGATTCTGGTCCAATTAACTGAAACCGCTCTATTACCGAACCCCATAGAAGCCAACTCTGTACAAAGAAATGATGCTTACACACAGCAAAAGCCCTAAGTAGAATATAGTAATGACTAAAACAACTGTTGTGGAGAGTTACAGATAATAAACAAACAAGCTGGTGGAGCTGAGATCTAAACCAAAAACAAAACTCAGATCCAAATAAGATGATTCAAGATCAAGAGCTTTCCAGTTCGCTTTGGATCCAATCTTGTGCACACATCAAAGCCTGTACAGTACTCGGTCTAAGCGAACACCAGGTTTTATCAACCTGTTTCCTTCTGGAAGTCTCAAAGGCGTCTTCGTCAGATGATACATTCGATAGTGGAACCGCTAACACATTACGTGCCATCATAGAGAGAATCGGGTACCTCGGCGTGTGAACTTTCCACCAGTTCAGGATGTCGAAATCTGAATTCCGTGGAAAAAGTGGCTCCTCTAGATACTTTTCTAGATCAGATTTAGAGTCTTGACCCGGTGTAGTAGTTGTATCGTTGATGTACCTATCGAATTCTTTGAGTCTATCGTCAAGCCCTTTCCCATTGACAACACCGTTTTGCTGATGATGATGATCATGCCAGTCAAGAGCTTGATTTGATGATGCTAACAATGACCCAACAGAATGCTCGTCGTACAGCGCTTTGATGCACTCAGAGATATCTTCGATGAGCTCTGAAGCACTAACATCATAAAACAGGGGGTAATAGTATTCCACCAGCTTCATTTTAAATCGCGGGTCTAATATGGTAGCTATGGCTAGAACCAGGTTGTTTTTATCCCAGAACTCGTCAAATCTCTTTCTCATGTTTACAGCTAGAGAGCTAATGAAATCATCCGGGTTCTTGGTCCATTCGATTAACCGGAGGTGTATGTCGCATACCTCGGGGAAGTAGATATTGGCAGGGGAGCAATTGCTCTTTGTGAATGCATTTGTCATTTCGACAAAGACTTTCAAGAACCCAACAATTGTTCCTAATCTTTCCCATTCCAAATCAGATGGACATGACAAGGAATCAGGATCGTGTTCTTCCATGAGTGAAAATAGGCTCTTTTGCTCTAATGCAATCTCCAGCATGGTACATGTGGTGTCCCATCGTGTTGGGTCATCGATGCATAGGTCCTTTTCACTTTCAGCTCCATCTTCAACAGTCCATTGATTGAACCTCTCTTGAATATGTTCTGACCTTTTCACAGACTGAATGCTCTCTCGAATCTTGTTTATTGTCTCACAACAACTTTGCAGGGAATCTTGAGCCATCTGGTTAATGACATTAACTCCACAGCTTATATCAAACAATTGCCCGTTACAGTAGAGGAACTTGTTCTGAGATAACCGGTCTCTTATTTTGTTAGCTACATTTTCACCAAACGGAGGAGAATGACTCGACGCCATAGAAAACAACTTCCGGTCAATATCCCATTCCATTAAACACGTTATTATAACTTCAGCGAGCATTTCATCCGTATGAGATGGATCAACCATGAAGAAGTTTAGAACTCTCTTTTTCAGCTCCCATGTTTCATCGATATAATGTGCTGCCAAACACAGGAACTCATCAGAATCATCTGAACCACTCCACACATCCACACTGATACTGATCTTTCCAAGTAACTTATCCAAGTCTTCGAAGATCTTGTGCTTCTCTTTTGCGTAGATTTCCATACAGTCAGATTCAACTCTTTCAAACGCAACAAGATCAAACAAAGGCTGTAAATTTCTAATAAACACTCTAAATCCAGCATCTTCAACCATAGTTAACGGATACCCGTGTAATATTATCATCCGGGCAAGATCAAACCGACTCCTCCTTTGATCCAAACCAGCACTTACAACACTGACACCATCAAGTTCTCTGATATTCTCATGCTCATATCTAACATTCACTACACTAAGCACTTCATCTTGTCTCTGCTCATTTTCGATATTCGCTAGCTCAAGTCTTTCTTCTTTCTTCTTTCCCTTAACTAAATACTGCCCACCAACAACACCGTTACCGGTAGCTCTCCTCCTACATCTAATCAAATGGTTCCTCAAATGCGAAGTTCCGCTCGCGCTCGATCCGCTAAGTCGTTTCTTACAGTGCCTGCAGATTGCAACGAATGTTTCACCTTTTCTCACTCTATCAAAATCATTCCACACAACTGATTTCAATCTCCCAGATTTCACAATCACTGCATCTGATAAATCCATCTCATTGGTTATCATCAGTTTCTACCGTCTCCTACACA